CTCCACACACGGCTCTTTGCACCCCTTTATTCCCCCTGGAGCCCCAAATCCCGCGGCTCCCACATCCCAACATTTCCAAACCCCAATCTTCCCCCCTTTCCCCCGAGCCCCGCAGGAAACAACATCATGTCCCTTTTTGGGGTCTTTTTTTTAACCCAAATTCAGAACATTTAAGCTCAGACTATTTACACCCAACCCCCCTCTTGCATATCCAGGCAATCCCAAAGCCTTTCCCAGCTGTGGGATGTTTCCTTTGGGATCCCCCGACCCCCCATTCCCGGGATCCCCCCGAAGGGGTTTTAGTGTTGATTGGGCTCCTCGGAGCCGCTCGGGAAGGGCTTTTCCCAGGATGAGTTTTCCAGATTCCACCCCGGAGAGCGAGCGAGGCTCTTGCATAGCCAGGGGCAGGGGGGGAAAAGGGATGGGGGGGCAAACAGGGATAAAAGCATTGGGGGGAGGGTGGAGAACCTAAAACAAGCCATTTTCCAGGCCCAAAGCTTCTTCCTGGAGCCAGCCTGGGGCTTTCCTGGATCGTCTTTCAGGTCCTTCCAAGCCAAACCATTCCATGATTCCCTGATGGGATTTTCGGTGCTGGTCGATGAATCCCATGGGTTTTTTCCTTATTATTTGCCTTAAACAGCCCCAAAATCTGCTGGATTCCTCCTCCAGGATGGGAAATGCTGGATCAGCTTCTCCTGTTGCTCCAGCACCATGCAGGGAAAGTGTCTGCTCCTGGATGGAGCATCTCAGGGATTGAGGAGGGAAAAGGGGGCAAGGAACCAAGAGCAGGAGGGAAAAACACAGAATTTGGGAGGAAAAAGCAGGAGAGTGGGGGCGGCGTGGAGGGATTTGCATAAAAGCTCCAGGATTTTTCCAGCGTGGGCTCCTGCTTCCCAGGAGCTGTGGCTGGGCCAAAGTCTGGGGTTATTTTGGCTAAAAATCCCAAAATTTTGCCGGCAGGAGCCAGATGATCCCAAAAACCCCCAGAGTTTTCCTCCCCGTGCAGTGCCAGGGGCCCCAAAACTGTCCCAGTCCTTCCCAGAGCCTGGAATAAAGTGCAGAATGTCTGTGTGGTGGGAAGAGAGGTGCAGGGAGAGCTGGGAGTGGGAATTTCCACCTCCTGCCGTGCAGGATGAGCCATCCCTGCCCCGGGAATGTGGTGGGAGCTTCCCTGATATAAATATATATAAATATATATAAATATATCCACTTGTGTCCAGGCCTTGGGGGCCTCGGAGGAGGAGGGAACAAGCTCTGATGTGGGAATGTGGATCCCACACCCCTCATTCCAAGAATTGTGGACCCCACACCCCTTATTCCAAGAAGAACGGTGGATCCCAAACCTCTCATTCCCAGGAGAATTGTGGATCCCTCATTCTCAGGATTGTGGATCCCTCATTCTCAGGAGGACTGTGGATCCCTCATTCCCAGGGGAACCGTGGATGCCCCATTCCCAGGAGGAGCCACGTGGGGGGAACGAGGCCGAGTCCAAACGTCGCCGCGGAGCCACAAACCCAAGGCCGGGAATCAAACGCCGCCAATCCGCCCCAAAAACCTCTTGTGGAGGGCCCCGGGAGCCGCAGGAGGTGGGAGCGGGGCCGGAGGGACATTCCAGGCGGGATCAGGGGGTGTAGGCTGGCGGAGGCTGGAACTGGTTGATCACCTCGTACTCGGCCGGGTAGGGCTCGTTCTCCTCCATCTCCGAGAGCAGCTCCAGCGCCTGCTCCTCCTCCTCGGTGGGATAATGCCGGAGCAGGTTGGCGGCCGTGGCCAGGATCGAGGCCCCCCCTGCCCCCGCCACCAGGTAGAAGCTGACGGCGAAGGTGACGTAGACCTGGGAGCCGTGGTACTTCTTGTGCTGCTGCTGCTGCGCCAGGATCAGCTCCGACGCCCAGTAGCAGAACCCGATGACGGTGGCACATTGCAGGACTGGGAGGGACAGGGAAAACGGGGAGAAACGGGAGAAAAATCAGTCACAGGGTGGTTTGGGATGAACAGGGACGTGGGCAAGGGCAGAGCTCGGGGTGAAACGCAGGGACAAACACCCAAAACCCAGCCAGAAATCCACCAAAAATGTGAGGCTTTCCCTGTAGGAATTCCTGGTTGGAATTCCCTGGCTGTACCTGTGAGGATTTCCCTGCAGGAATTCCC